TGAACGGATTAATAACAACATAGAAACGGAATAGTGCATGCTAGCTTCAAATCAATGGAAACTTAATTAGAATTCTACATATTAGGGTGGGTTTTAAAATTCGGGGGAAAGGATTTATTAATACTTGATTGCAAATATTTCCCTAGCCTCAGGCCAGAGGGCTTAGGGCGTAGTGTTTAGGGTTTATGGGTTCCTCTGGGGTCCCCCCCCCCTCCACAAGGTTTCCCGTACTTGATTGGGGGCCCCCCGGATTATTCAGATCCGTACTTGTTTGGGGGGTTGTGGTTTTATAGTCCGACCCCCCCATTAAGCTAACTTCGACCTCAAACGCTATACTCTAGACCCTAAACCCTGTCAGGTTTAGGGTTGAGGGCTGTCAATCCCAGTCCCAAAGTCCAAAACCGCAAAAACCTGAACCCTTGGCCTTCGTCCCTTTCCCGAGGCTTCAAGAGCAAAGAGACATCCAAGTGCTTGAGCTGGCGGGGCGCAGGGGCAGAGGATTTCAAGGGTTCAGGAGCTTTACGGTTCGAATATGTGGAGATGTAGAGGGTTGAGGATAGAAGAATGGAGAGTCCAGTGCAAAAGGCAAAGGAAACTGTATTCGTGCGCTACTAGTTTGGAATCAGCGATTCAGCGGTTAAGTTTTAGCATTCAGTGAGTCAGGTTATCAGTAGGTTAAGGGGACGTAGGGTTGGGAATTACATTAGCGTGCTAGGGCATTAGACAGATTTAGAGTCTAAATCTCTTCATGACGCTGATCCTCAAGCTGGTACGGAAGTTGTGGGGTCAGGGCTTCCGTAACCCGACTACAATCATGTTGTGGCTTCAGTTTAACAAAATCCAGTTTTTCCCAACCCCAAACTAAAGCAAAACATGGGCTTCTTCAACTACTGAATCATGTTAAGAGTTTGCAGTATGCGCAGTCCAAAAGCTTCTGCTTCATTGCAAGTAGCAAAAACTCCAGAGACCTCCGCTTGAGGGTCGTGTGTTTTGCGACATCCCTTGACTTATAAAGACTGTATAGCGGTCTCAATGTGAGGGCCGACAACAACGGCCACAGATCCAGCTCTCCCACTTGGAGCTGCAAGAAGTGCTTGCAAGCGTGAAATCTACCAAAGAAGACGTGAAGCAAGGCCTCTGCAACTCGCTTACGAACGCGTTGGCCATTCGATTGGTCATTTCGTTGGGTGATCTTTCCGGTCCGGTGCTGGCTGCCTTGGTGCAAGCCTCGGCCGATGGCCTCTTGGAAAAGCTTGCGAGGTTCAACCATCGGATTTTGCGTGGGGTGATCATATAGTATCCTGTGTGGCCCGAACTGGAAACGAAAAGAATATGGAAACTGCAATGTTACCTGGGGATCATATAGGAGCCTTGGGGAATGAACTGAAACATTGCAAGGTACATGGAATGGAAACTTAGCGAAGCATGCGGGTTCGGAGTTTAGAGTTTAGCGCGTGAAGGTGTTGGGTAGGTATAGCCTCGTTCGAACTGTAGCTTCCACCAAACTCTAACCATACCCGACAGACTCTAGGGACTCATTTTGTCTCAATTGCAGTTTCACCGAGTTGTAATTACCTTGGGCCAAGGTGAAAATTGGAGTTTAGTCTATAGTCCTTAATATTATATTCTCTAATGAGCACCCATGACCATAGGTAACTATAGTTCATGTGGTAGTTTCTCAAAAGAAGGGGATGCCAACATAAGCCCCAAAAAGTTTAAAATCCTTGCTACAGGCACCTCCCAAGATGGCGCCTCTAATTTTAAACCCTAGCCCCTGCATAACCCCTATATAACCCCGATGAAGGTACCCCTATGTAGCTATGACTCATATAGGTATCTTGCAGACTGACGGCTTGCGTACTTGGACTTTTTAAGGGACCGTATCAGCCACCTCCTCATGCATCTACCTAGGCCTTCCGAACACACGTGGTTTAGGCTTTAGGTTTTCGCCTATCCACTCACTGGTATGGGGTCAAGGGTTAGGCTGTTAGTATGATGGGTGTCTGGAAAGTCTAGGTAGCTCATTCACATAAATGAGTATAATCTTGTAATCGTTACAGGCCTAACATGTCCTTCGAAGTCTGAACCGTCCATCTGATACCCAAACCTTGGGCCTCATGTTTACCAAGTAATAGGGGCGCATGAAACCATGTCTGTTGTATATATATATATATGAACGTGAGTGCAGGAAATCTTGCATGACATTCTCGACCCTACACCTCGATGGCTAGATTATTATGGGAGTCCTAGGTGGTGCAGGATGTCCTCCATCATTGTAGGAACAGGAATGACCGCAATGCTGAACTAGAGACAAGTGTGGCCACGCAACTACTTGTCTCAATTGAAATTAGAGTAAAATCATGTTCTCCCCTATGGTTTTTGCATCAGGACAGCATACATGGTCAACCTGAATCCCTGCTTCACATGCTCCACTGTCAGTATTTGGGTTAGTAAAGGACCCTTAACAGTGGACATAGGGTTTCCTCTTGCAGTTTAGTAGTGGAGTCCGCAATGAGGAACCCATGTCCGTTCAATTATGCAGGAAATCTTGACTGTAGCTCATAGAGCCGTATCACTGTCAACCGCTAGTAATTCCCATTCTCGGTTTCATCTACCACGCTCTTGTTACATTGATTCTCCTTTGCTGCGGGGTAATCCCTCCCCTGATACCCGACCCATTAGTACACAGTCCAAATTTTCAAGCTGTAAGTACGTAGGGCCATGCAGGCTTGTCAGTTCCTCCGTAATATTATACGCTATAGCAACGTTATGTATTTGGGTAATGGGCACCACCTGAACCATCTTAAGGTAGAGTGGGGGAGTGAAACTTTATGGAAATGCTTGTAGAAACACCTAGTATCGCGGCCCGCTGTCCCTGACGCACCCTAAACCCTGAACCCTCAACCCTAAATCCGGAACCCTAAGCCCCAAAGCGTGAACCCAAAACCCTAAACCCTGAACCCTAAACTCGGAGACCCTTAGCGGAGCGAGGAGATTGTAAAGCTGCAAGGCCAAGGATGAAAAGCCGCGCCTGCGGGATCACTTTCTAGAGTGGCTGGGCGTTTGGTTTAGGGCTTCAGGGGTTTAGGGCTCAGGGTTTAGGGTTCAGAGTACAGGGTTTCGGGCTTAGCAGGGTTTAGGGGGTTTAAGGTACAGGGTTCAGGGGGTTTCAGGCACAGGGTTTAGGGTTCAGGGTTAGGGTTAAGGGTACTGGTACAGGTTTCAAGGGTTTAGGGGATTAGGGTTTAGGGTACATGCAGGGTTTAGGGGGCTTAGGGCTCAGGGTTTAAGGTTCAGGGTTTGGGGGGTTGAGGGTTTCGGCTACAGGGTTCAGTTGGGGTACAGGGTTTAGGGTTTCGGGTACAGGGCTTGGGGTTGAGGGTTTAATTAGGGGGTGTAGGGGTCAGGGTTTCGGGATCAGGGTACAGGGTTCTTGGGGTTTAGGGCTCAGTTTTATCGGGGTTTAGGGTTGGGCGTTAGGCTAGGATTGACGTTCTGGAGCAAGGCTAAACTTGTGGAAGCTGCGCGCTGCAACAAGTAAAACATATTTCTGTGGTGAATGAAAATCAAAATGTACATAGAGATAACGTGTTGAAACTAGAAAGCACGACATTTTAACATTTCTTACGTTTGAATTTTGAAGTGTGCGCTTTGATTGTGCCCTGGCTCAGGCCGTAAGTATGACGACTACCGTGATCCCGGCTATGAGTTAGAAGACTCGGCAGACTACCAGCCGGCCCAGGGGGATGAGGAGGCCGAGCCCGCTTTGGCAAGTTTTGAGGACGTTCGCAAAGACTCGGAGGCATCCGGAGCGGCGGGTGAGGTCATGGATCGCTGCCTGAAGCTGCTGGAGCGCCAGCGCTTGGAAACCCAAAAGCAGCTCGCGCGTGCCGAGGAAGCTGAGATGTCCAAGGATTGGGTGAACGACGTTCTGACCGGAATCTTGAGCATGGACGAGTTTGAGGTCTGGGAGTGCCCCGAACCCTACAAGTATGCAACATGTAGCATGATGGTCCAATACCTTCAAAAGCAGCCAGAAGAGGAGACACGTTCTTCTGTATACCTCCGGGGTTCCAGGCACCCATGTATATCCACTGTAGAACCCTACATAGTACCCTGACAAGCTGGGGGTTGAGTAGGTCCGCCCAGAGGAGAGCCTATCCAAAGTATTCGTTTAGGGTTCAGGGTTTATGGTACAGGGTTTAGGGCTTTGGGTATAGGGTTTAGGGTATAGGCTATAGGCTTCAGGGTTTCCAAGCTTAGGGTTTTTCAAGCTTAGCATGGGGCTCCCTAAGCCCTAATGAGGGTTGCATCGTAAGACATATCCGCGATGCGCCTGTCGAGTAGGTGCCTACGGTGTAGGCCCTACACCCTGAACCTTTAGGCAAAAAACTAAAGTGTAAAAGCTTGAAATGAACACCAATATGATGGTCTGAGCTTCCCCATGTTGCAGGGTATCTCAAGCAGTCCTAAAAATCAGATGGGTAATCATGTAGTACTTCAGGGCCCTGCGCTCAACCCTACACCCGCGTTGCGGTGTGATTTTTTTGTAAGGCTTGCTAACCCAAGGCTTTCTTTTATGGAAAGGGAATGGAACTGGGTGATATAGGGGCTTATAATGAGAAGTACCACACAAAGGAAAGTGTTTAGGGCTCAGGCACATGGGAAAAGCATATGGGAAAGCACTTAGAAATAATCTGGCCCCACAGTTCTTGTATAACTCTGGTAGAGGGTACTCAAATGAGCATAAACATGATGCTGATACTTTCTCAAGCCCTACAGCACTCAGCTTCTTCTACTTGTAGACCTCCTCTTGTTGTACTTCTTCACATTCTTCTAACACTACTCCTGCAAAAGGATGTTCTCAATCAACTGTCAAATGAAATTCTGTCAGTTGCTGCGGCGGCGGGCCTCTCATATGGATTCAGACTGATAATTGTGTTCAGGTTGCTACAATACGATGATAGGCTTTTCTAGTTGGGAAAGCAGAAAATTCAACCCCCTGCAAATCTCCAACTAAAACAACCTGTGGTACAGAAATGACATGAATCGCAAGCCCTAAGCCCTAAGCCCCCAAACCCTATAACATGCGACCACAACTTTCCAAAACTTCCGAAGCAAACCATGCACCCGAAACCCTAAATCCAAAACTCAAATTCCTGAACCCTAAACGTAGACCCCTAATTAATAGCCCCCTCCCCTTCATGGGGATTATAATAGGGATCCGGGTTTTGAGGCCCCTAAAGCGAGGGGGCTTATTGGTCAGGGGTCTACAGTATGCCTTCTACTAAGCCTTGTATATCCTTTTATACACCGCCTAGACGAGCCATAGTCTAAACTCCTTAACGAGGGTTCGTAGGGGATCATATAGGAGAATCTTATAGGGGTGATTAAGGGGGATGTTGGGAGTTTCGTCTATAGCTCATGTAAGACTCATGAAAGTCCCATATCAACCCTATAGCCCTCAACTAATTCCGGGTTAGAAGCCCTGTACCCTCAGGCCTAAACCCTAATTAAACCCTAAAACCCTCAAACCGCGCGTTCTCTTGCAGAGAGCCAAGGATGCTGAAGCTACGCTTCCGTATGGATGGATGGGAGGTACTTGGGTTAGGTTCAGGGCAGAAGTGTAGATTTTTTAAATGGTTTTAGGGTTTATAGGGTTTATAGGTTTTAGGGTTTAGGGTTTAACATCGTGGGGTTTTGTGGGTTTTAAGGTGTGGGTTTTAGGTTTCAGTTAAGGGTTTGGGATTAACCCCAAAGGGCACAGTTTGGGATTTCGCCCCAGGACGTGTATTCGGGCGGCTTGGGTAGTTTTCCTGGCCGGGGTTTCGAACGACTTCTGGGCGACTCTTGTCTTTGTGCGGTTTTCCGTTGCTATTGGTGGGTAAGGACCTATACAATTTCAAGTGATTCTGAGCTTGAGGGTTAAGGGTTCAGGGCTTATGGTTTGGGGTTAAGCCTAAAGTGCCCGCTGTACGGTTCAGCCCCCACGAATCCAGCCACCTGGATAGGCTTTAGGGTTGGCTTTGCATTTTAGATTCAAGGCTTATGAGTTATGCTCATGGCAGGGTGCAGGTAGCGACATAGAAGAAACTGAACATTCTCATGGCCCAGTGTTTAGGGTTTAGGATTTAGAGTTAGGGTTTAGGGCATATGGGAGCGGCTCAACAACATTGATCTTGCAAAAAAATTGTAAGAGAGGGTTGGTGCCTGACAACCCTCCTTGCGACAAGTCTCTTCGGACTTCGTCTATCCAGCCGAAGCCCGGGTTGAAACAAGGGGGCTTTAATAGAGTTTTGCAGCGGGATGGGTGGGTGTTGTGCCCGCGACAAAGGGGGCATTTCTCACCCACTCCCACTTGGTGGCTTCCATAAGTTGAGCCCAAGAATAGACCCCAAAATATCATAATCCTGTAACATAGGGACTCCCACATCCTACAGAGGGGATCCTCAATTCAAGGAAACCTTTGTTTCAGGGCCTAAGCTTTTGTCATGCATGTGCCTGAACCCCTTGGAAAAGCAGGGTGCTTCAGCAAGCTGAAGTCAATTAGGCAAAACTACGGCTCCAGAGATTACCGGGAGTTGGGATTACTGGGGTGCTGAGTCAGGTTTAGAGGTTTGGGGTTCAGTTTTGCAGTGGTTCTTGACTTTGGGCTGGTAGTCAAGCTGATTATCTAAACTAATGGGGGTTTCCCAAAATTAGGGGTACCTTTTGGGGGTCCCTATAGTAAGGATTATAATATTTTTGGGTCTATATAGGGGTCCCATTATTTTGGGAAACTACCAATGTTCAATGTCTTTACGTTTGTAGGGAAGTTTGTCAGCTGAGGCGAACCAGGTTTTGACACCTGCTATGGGCCTAACTGTTGTCAGCAAACCCTAAGCTAGAGGCCCTAAACCATTGTTCAGACTTCCACCTTCCTTGAGGACAGCTTCCAGTGTTCAGGTTGTCGGTTTTGGGGCTTATACAGTATGTGCTAACCTGAAGATGGAAGACCAGCCCCCAAAGAACCCTAAACCCTCAACCCCTGTGCAGGACATCATGGGGATCGAAGAGGAGGTGATCGTGGAAATGCGCCAGCACTGGCCGTTTCTGGAGGAGGCCCCGCCATTCGCTGCTCTGAAGTCTTGAAGTCCTGAACTGAAGTCCGTCGGTCGAGAAGGACACCTAAAGGTAGCCTTCAACAAGATGTTTGGGAGTTTCCATAAACGGGTACTTGCAAAAGTAACCCCTGTCCTTCGGCAACCTCCAGTGGCAGTAATGGCTCAGGACCTCACGCGCTGCAAAGGAATGCCTCAAAAACGTACTTGCCGCGGTTCTTTGCCTAGACTCTATGGTTGCCCTGATCAAAGAATTACCTCATGATAGTAAGTCTTGTCCGCAACCCCATTCATCTTAAACGCTAAACCCTAAACCGTAGTACGCCAAGCTGGGCATTGGAGATGTCATGAGATGGAGGTTTCCCAAAGTTTGGGGTACCGTTCCACAATAGTAAGGAGTAAAGTATTTCGGAGTCCATGTTGGGTCCCCATTTATTGAAAATACCAGATGGGTCGGAGTAAGAAATGTCTTAAGCTGCAGCAGTCAAAAGGGTCCTTAGCATGGCCTGGTCAGATAATCCTAGACCCTAAACCCTTGGTTCCAAGCGGTTGTAACTTGTCTTTGTTCACTGCTTGTTTCGGAGATTCAGGATTCCTCAGAGAATCTTCACGCGACTTGGGTTTAGGGTTTAGGGTTGAGGGTTGGTGTTGAAGGCTTCTATCCCAAAAACCCCTAGACCCCAAATCCTAATGTTCGTCGTGCCTGGGATGGTCCGGCACAGACGGTCCTGCATGGTTCCTTCGCCGCACACAGGTCTAGAAACCCTGCGTACCATAATACCTACTGGAGGCCAATAAGGGTTCCCAATTGCGTTTCTGGACTCTTCGTTAGTGTATCGGGTGCCCACAAAAACGGGCCGAATCCTATCAAGTCTTCGATGACATTAATCTAGGATTACAAGTGCATAAATGATACCAATCCTTAAGCCCTGTTGGCCCTAGACGGCCACAACCGCTGTAGATCCTCCTTCTAGGGTTTAGGGTTTATGTCGCCGTGCATAACCCAGCAAAAAAAGTGGCGTGTAATTCGTCCACTACTTGCTGACTAGACTCATCTAGACTCCATCAATGTTGAACATCCCTAACCCTGCATATTGAATATCGCTTTCTAATGCAGAAGCATAAGGTTTCTGGTAGGAAATACTGAATGACATTCCTGAATGTCATTGGTGGTAGGGGTAGGGGTAGGGGGGGCTTTTGAAATAGGGCAGAGGGTTTGACCTCTATGTAGCCGCTTTAATGTTGAATCCCAATTAGCGCGGGTGAGCTGAACTGAGCTACTGCCTTCCCTGCGCTTTCCTTGTTTACTTGCAACAGGAGCCAGAAGATCCCCCGCTCCTGATTCATCGTATTGGGAATGAAAGAACTCCGCAGATCCCCCCAATTTGTTTTGGAGGATTTCGCCTGTAGAGGCTTCCCCTTGTTGTTTGGGCAGTCTTGCACGAATTAGCACCCAACGACCCCCCACCCAGCAACAGTGACTTTGAGGGATAGTGGTGATTAGACTAGGGGCCTCTTCTATAGGCCTCTTGTGCCACTACTACAGGGTCGAGGTCCACCTTAGCAAGAGCCCAGTTTTCGTGTCATGTCTTTTCGACTTCAACCTAAACCCGCCAAAGTCTGAGCCCCGCCTGGGTGGCAGGAGTCTGACTTGTTGGACTACCCATCACCACAGCCGCTGTCCCGCTACGCCCGAGACCACATTGCGGTGGAGAGGCCAGGTTTTTGAGACATTCGCAACATGGTAGTTTTGTGAAATAGGGAGACCCCAATATAGACCCCAAAATATTATAATCCTTATTATCAGGAACCCCAAAATGGTAAGCTAATTGTGGAAAATCCCACATCTGCAAGTTGAGCCAGGGTTCTCGTGCTTTACGTGCGTTTTTCTAAGGGTCCAAATACATAATAATCCCATACTTATCCCAGAACTGTACTATAATTACTATTGCCTATAACCCAAGTACCCAATTATTGGGTACTTGGACCCTTTGGGTTTGAGGGCGCGATGGACGCTGCCGTAAGAGTTGGGGACGCAGTCACGGAAGCCTTAAACCGGCACCCTAAACCCCTAAACCCCTAAACCGGGTCTTTCCACGAGGTTCTGGTAAGGGCAGTGGCCCCGGGTTTTGCGAGGAAGGAGAGAGCTTCTTACCCTAATTAGGGTCCAAGGACCCAAATAAGAGGGCTTTAGATCCCAAATACCATGAACATTATAGTAGATGGGCCCTAAAACCTGATTATTTGGGTCCTATATACCCCTATATTGTAGTCCCCATATATTCCCCTATAAGCCCTTTAAAGAAGCCCTATTATTTGGGTCCTTGGACCCCTAGGGTTAGGGGCGTTCGCGAAAGTGGCTCTGCGGCGAGGAGAGATGAGGGGAGCCAGTCTGAAACGGCAGGTAGGGGCGAACTGTTTAGGGTTTAGGATTTAGGATTTAGGCTTTGGATTCAATTAGGGGTTTAGGGGTTTAGGGGTTTAGGGTTTTGGATTTAGGGTTTAGGGTTTAGGGTTTATAGTCCCCCTCAAGTAGATAGAAAATAGGGTATATGAGGCTCTTGTGATAATATACCCAAAGCCATATTCTGTCTACTTAAGGGGGACTATTGGGTTGTGGATGCATCTAGCTAACCGAGGAACGAATCCCGGTCCAGCATCCTGGGTGTTGATCAGTGCATGCAGGGAGTTTCTCAACAAAAGTGTACATCGCCCTTGCTGTCTGAAGTAAGATTAGGTCTTTTTGATGATTTGGTGTAAGCACCGCATCAAGATGCGGGACACGCTCCCATCTTCTTTGATCCCATTGAAGTTCTGGACAAGGACCGCACTTTTCCGGGCCTTTCGTCCAACAACTGTCTGATTTGTTGCTAGCTTACGTAAAGACAGAGGAGAGTATGTGTGCCTGTGGGGCAGAACATATTGCCGGAAGGTTGCTTCCCAAGCACAATCGCGCAAACCTTGGAACTGCTTCGTGCCTGACAACCTTCATACAGATGTAATTCTATGTTGCTGACCGCATGGTCGTTCCAGAAAAACTGCTCAGGTTGTTGAGTTTAGGGTTTAGGGACCCATAGGACGTCAAAGAACCTCCACCTGCGTCCCTCGAGTCAACCCTCAGAGCCCTATCTTAATTTGACAAGATTTTCCTGCGCTTGAACCGTCCCCTCCCTCCCCAGGAGTTTATGGATCCTTTTGTAGGAACTAGGGCCTAAGTAGCCAATAACTGAATATTTGAGATTTTGGTACTAGGAATTGTAGGACAGATCTTGGGCAAGTGTATGATTATTTGGTACTTAGACCCTTAGGGCTAAAGGACTACATTGGTCCGTGGATGGGCTATATTGGGGTTATGTTAGGGGCATAACTGTAGGGGTACAACGGTGGAAGCTCCCTAAACCCAAAACTACACCTGACAGTAAATCCCAACGAGTTGATTATGTTAGGTGGACCCCGCACCCTGTAATAGTGAGCATAAGGGATAATCAGGATTATATTAGGGTCCTCTTATATTCCTAGTATACCACTATTACAGGGTGGGGGTCCTCCCAATGAATATGGAACAAGCATGTTTGAGCTGCTGAGTCCTCATTTTGCGTCTTGTTGTTTTGTTGCATAACTTTCGCTAGGCACCAAACCTCTGGATTTCCATAGCATCCTTTTCCTAATACTCACTTCCGAACTCTCAAATGTTTTAACAGTTGTACACCAAGACCAAGACATAAGAAACAATCTGAGTCGGGCTTAGGGTTTACTTGTAGGGGTTGGTTCGCAAAAGCATGCATTTCTGTAAGTTTTGAGTTCAGGATGACTACGGAACCTCAGAAGCTGTCCTTGGCTGCTTGGTGTAGTTTGAGGCTTATGGTGTCCCTAAGCCCTACACCCCAACCTCAACCCTAAACTCCCTAAACCCTCAATTCTGAATTTCAGTGTAATACAGTATAGTACAGTTATATTGAAAAATCAAAGCCCCAAACCCCCTCAGCAGTACTCCCTAAACTCTAGAGCCCAGAAAAACTGGAAATTTTCTAGGGCCAAAAGCAAAGCACACAACTCGGCTCAATATTCACCCGTAACTCGCAACATGAACCCTATACAATTGCTACAAAACCCTTAAACCCCGTATAACCCCTTGATAACCCCCTATACACTTCTTTGTACGGGGCTTTTGAATTCTGAGCCCAAAGTCTGCTTTCAGCAGGCTTCTTCCCACCAAGTATGTGGCCTGCATCCAAGGCAGTGGCTCCAATGGATTTGGGATATAATGGAGAATCAAATGGAAAAGAAAATGGAGAATGAAATGGAAACTGGGATTAATACAATAGCGTAGGTTATAGGGGTAATATTGGGGAGTATATTGGGGTTATATGCGGATACTGGAAAATTAAATGGACACTACAGGGATTATAGGGCTCTTATAGGGGTTATACAGGGGATGTATTGGGGTTATATTGGGATAATGGAAAATGAAATGGAAACTACTATTTAGGATTTAGGGTTTAAGGTTTAGGGCTTAGGGTTTGGAATTCGGTTTTTGAGGTTACGCCCAGAACTTTGTCTTTTATCTGGGGGGAGTCTAGGAGTGTAGTATAGGGAGGGTGGTAGGGGAACGGAATCCATAAATTGAGCTACTTATAGTTGTCCTTATAACCCACGTCTTATAAAGATGATAGGCGGCTATGTGAACCACCTCCTGATCGTCCTGGCGATCTCGGTGGCCGCGGCGGGGTCGTGGCAGCGGCCCCAGACGAAGAGTTCACCTGTGGGAGGCCTTGCCCCGGGCCAAGGCGGTTGTGTACTAGGCAGGCTGCAGACGCAGGGAGCGGTGCCAGGCAACCGTAGTGTAGCGCTTTGGGAGAAGAGTGGAGCAGGACTTGACTTAGGGCAGGAACAGTGCGAGAGTGTCGCCGCTGTGCAGTTTTGTGGAAGCTTCAAGGGCGGGGCCGACCACCTCGGGGGCGCTGATGTCGGCGCGGGGGTTCTCCAGGCCTACTGCTTCAATTTTGGGGGGTGTCACGGCGGCGAGGACTTGGTGGAGCTGGCGCTCTTCCAGGGCGGCCAGTCCGACATCTCTGCGGATTACTTGGACAATGGCATGCTTGTGGGTCCCGACGGTGGCCTGGCCGATGCGCTGTGGCTGCTTGAGGGCTCTGACGTGCTTGAGTGCTACGACGGCGAGGTCCTGGTGGAGCTTGAGCTCCTCCATGGCGGCCTGCCTGACAGCTATGCGGGCGACTTGGACATTGACGTGCTTGGGGGTCTCGGCGGCGGCCTGACTGAAGAACAGCAGCTGCTGGCAGACTTTGACAAGATTGAGGGGCTGGACGGCGACCCACCTGATCCTGGAGGAGGTGCTTGTGGGCTGCGATGGCGTGTGTGCCCCCTGGCTGCGTGGAGGCATGGGCCTCGAGGAATGGGTTCCGACGACGGCCCGGCCGAGGAGCGGAGGCTGCTTGGGGACTCGGACGCACTTGAGGGCTGCGTGGGCGGGGTCCTGGGACATGACTTGCTTGAGGACTTCGACGGCGGCCTGACTGAAGGGCAGAAGCTGCTGGAAGACTTTGGCGAGATTGAGGCAGGACTGCGACATGGCGGAGGTCCAGGACGACAAGGACGAGCCCGCGGTGGCACCACCGCCGGCCCCGACGGGACAGAGAGGGGCCACCTCGGCTGCCAGATACAGCAATGGGCACCTGCGTAGCCGAGTGGGCGTGGTGGTGCGCGATGCATGGCAGTGCCCGGAGTGTGGCTGG